AAGGTACATGGACAGTGCAAATTCGGGGAACAGCAATTGCCCTGATTTCGTGGTATCACAAAGCGTCCTGGGCTGCATTCAGTATGCATCCCTAGTGCTGTACAAATGTACTCACCAAATATCTGCCAGAGCGTCTCCTGGTAGCTTGGATCGCATGAGCAGATCGCGTGCCTGGTCTCCGGATAGTGCAGAACCATTGCCAACGGCGGACTTAAACAATTGTTCGAACTTGGCCTGATCCTGGGCACTTATGAAGGAGAGCCTGATGTTCGGTATCTTGCTGGACTTGGCAGGAGGTGGGGGAGGTATATCTTGAGACAGTGGCCCGCGGAACGAGTCGGCCATCTGTGACGAGGTCATGCCCGTTGGCTGTGGCCTCTGGGGCTTGGGCGGAGGTTGAGGTGATGATTGGGGTTGAGATTGAGGGGGAGCGCCGGTCGCAAAAGACTGCAGTTGTTGGTTAGGATAGGCAGAGGTGTATTGAGGTTGCAGCGGCTGCTGCCCGAGCTGCTGTTGTCCAAGTTGTTGCTGTCCAAAGTTCTGCTGCGGTTGGCCCGGATAGCCAGTGAACTGTTGCTGCAATGGGGCTCCTCCAAAGCCAGTCTGCTGTTGGGATAATCCGCCCTGGAAGCCTCCAGATTGTTGGCCATATGGGGGTTGCTGGCCATACCCAGGCTGCCCAGGTCGGGCGCTGTTGCCGCCCCCTAAGTAGGAGTTGGAACCCGAAAACATAATGAAGCTGGTATCGCGCGTCAATCAAGAGTTCGGTGAGGATTCATGAAGCATGAACCGCGAAATAAGAGGAGATGGATCGGCGGTGGAGTGTCGCGGAAGGTAGTGAGGGAATGCTGAATGTAAGAGGTGAGGTCGAGGAGCTCCAGCGCTGTCTGGTGTTGTCTGTGCGCCCTCTAGCTTCGTCATCTCCCAACCGCAGTCGCCTCGAATCACCTATACGAACGTAACAACTTTGGAAAGTTGTCGCTCCCCTTGCTAACGTTTTATTCTACACCTCAATCCGCTGTTCTATCGGATACCTTCTGTCGAATATGTCTACAGAAACCAATGGAGAAAACGCGGAGCTCGAATTTGCGCAGGTCAGATACCATCCCTCTAGAAGCACACCGAGCAAGTCGCTGATAATGCGCTCAGGCATTCAAGGAACTCGCTCGAGGCGAACGTGCAGCTTCCGCATTAGAGGATCATCTAGATTCTCTCGAAAAGAAGATAGAAGAGTTGCTGGCAAAAGCTGAGGATGAGCAAAAGATAAAGACACAGTCAGAGCCTAATACTGACGCGCCGTCGCCGCCAGACACAGACAGCAAAGGGACATTATAATTCTACAAGTGCTATGAATATCGCTGATTTATCACGAAATTATGAATATACGGTCGGCAAGGCACTGCGTAGATGGCTACAATGTATTTGGGCCAGTATGAATCTGGGTATATAGAAGGAATTAGCCATCATCGGCGCTTAGGGAGGGGCGGAGAGCCATGGATTGCGGATGCAATTTTCCTAAATACCACCAATCGTAGATGGTTTTTCTCCTGACTCCCCGATCTCAAAGAGATGGTCCAGTTTGAAGACCCCATCAGCATTCTTTTCAACCACTCCAACCTCGGTGACAATTCCGTCGATGAGTTCAGCGGGGGTCACGTCGAATGCAGGATTCCACACTCCAATACCGTTCGCAGCAATGCTCACTGTTTCGACTACCCCGAGGTCTAGAGATACACCATCATGGCGTGGGCCCTTTATCAGAGTTACCTCTTTCCCAGGCCTCTCTTCAATGACAATGTCGTCGCCAGTTTTAGTCGCCAGGTCAATCGTCGTACGTGGTGCCGCAACGAGAAACTTCACACCATGGTGTTTGGCTAGGATTGCCAACGAGTACGTCCCGATCTTATTAGCAGTGTCGCCATTTGCAACAACCCTGTCTGCACCAACTACGATTGCTGCAATATTTTCCGAGGGCCCTTTCAAACGGAGGAGTGCTGCCGCCATTGAGTCCGTGACAAGCGTGGCCGGTATTTGATCATGAACCAATTCGAACGCCGTCAGCCTTGAGCCTTGGTTGTATGGCCGGGTTTCTGAGCAGAAAGCATGCTTAAGGGCTCCTCTAGAGTGTAAAGACCGGATGACACCAAGTGCCGTTCCATATCCAGCGGTAGCCAGAGAACTACCCAATTCAGCAACCGATACAATGTCTGGGTAAACAGTACTTACCCTGTGTTACAGTGCGTCAGCATGCTCACTTGTCCCTTCTTTCCTGCATCCGTGTTGTTCACAATCCATTCAGCACCATGCTTCCCAATATTTTCATTGTCGCTCACGTCGTCCTCCAACATTTTCTCTGCTGCACTCACATACGCCTGACGAACATCTTCTCCGGTAGAGCCGTCTTTAGCAGCGGCGTCTTCGGTGGTCTTCGTAAGTTTTCGGGCTGCATCTGCAAGGTTGACAGCAGTTGGCCGGCTTGTGACCAAATAGTTGAGCTTTTCAATGATGAAAATCTTGACTTCTTCTGCAACAGGTGACAATTTCATGTTGGTCAATTCAACTGCCAATGCAAGAGCAGCTACAATAGCAATGGCGGGTGCACCACGCGTCCGCATCTCCTTGATAGCATGCCATGCGTCTGTGCTCGAATAGATGTGGTCGTATTCTTCTGCGTGCGGCAGCTTTAGCTGGTCTAAAATGTCCAGCTGACCACGAGAGTATTTGATCGCTTGGAGCACCATCGTGGAGTGTCGAAGTCCTGTATCTGGCAAATTCCTGTCATGAAGCTAAGAAGCAAAACTAGGAAGCTAAATTCTTGAAGCTGCGTCGCATTTGCCCCACCTGCTCTCGGGGTTGCAGGGAAGGAGTTGCGAATGGCGGGGCAGGGCAGTCGTAAGAGCTGCAAGAACTTGAGCCTGCCCGCCTGGACAACGAATATCTGACTCTCTTCCCGAAACATAATTCTCAGTTATGACTTGCTGGAATTACTAGTCTCTTTTCTAGACTAGTTAGTATTCTTCACACATAGATGTCAGTGGCATGAACAACGCAAAATCTACAGATGGTAATTGTCTGCGATGGCGATTGCTCAAGCTCCTTTTTGGCAACCTGCAGTGGGCAAATGAAGGCTTGACAACTTTACTCCACCAAACAGAGGGATACTCCATTTTCGGGAATGGTTGGAGCAATGAGCGTTATGAAGTGCACAAGCTGCGTCCTGGAGCCGCTTGCATTCGGCAGACTCACCGCGGTTGACATCATGACAAAATCATAGCAATCACGAGCAAGGAACGTGGGATTGGGATTGTCCCTTCAAAATGTGCACAAACATCAGTCGAACCTGCCATCCCTCTCTTTATTTAAACAATACAACCCTTGGTGAAACAATTGCGCATTAAACAATTGCGCATTATCTTTATACAGCGGCATCTTCGTCCGACGACCGACTCCTTCTTTTCATCCGTTTTCTTCGAATGATACAAACCAAACTTCATCAAAATCTGTCATTCTTTTACCTGGACACTTATCTCAAACACCCAATATGGCCGACATCACCCTCAAATCCAATTTCCCCTTAGAAAATTCACAACATGAAATCCCTCGTCTAGGATTCGGCGTTTGTACGTTCCGCCGGGGCACAAAAAGTAACTGTCTTCCCAGGTCTTTGTGAAACGCTATACACGTAGTATATATCGCAAAGCTGCAAACGGACAGCGACCAATGTGCCAAAAATTCAATCTCGAACATTACTGACAGTATGTACTTATTCTAGATCTGTCTCCGGTTACAGTATGCGTAAAGTCGTGCCTTGAAGCATTCAAATCAGGGTATCGACACATCGATACAGCCCAATACTATGAAAACGAAGCATCCGTCGGCCGCGCTATTCTCGAATCCAGATTGCCCCGCAACCAAATCTTCGTAACCACTAAGATCCTCAGTCCCGGCAAGGATGTCGAATCTACCTACCGGAGCGTGCGAGATAGTGTTGAGAAGCTTGTTGGAAAGGAAGACGACGGATACGTTGATCTTTTCTTGATTCATAGTCCGAATGGAGGTGCCGAAGCCCGAAAGTTGATGTGGCAAGCTCTCGAGAAAGCGAAAGAAGAAAAGATTGTGCGGGACATTGGAGTGAGTAACTACGGGATCGCTCATATCGAGGAGATGCGGGAGTATTCAAAGGGGAACAATTGGCCACCAGTCGTGAACCAGATCGAAGTATAGCAGTACTCATTCATTAATGCCGGAAAAGTATGCTGATTGAAGCAGCTTCACCCCTGGTGTCAGCAACGAGAAATTGTCGAGTATTGCGAAAAAAACAAGATTGTCATCGAAGCCTATAGCCCTCTTGTTCGCAACCTCAAAGCTGAAGACAAGACTTTAGAGCAATTGTCTAAGAAACATGCCGCTTATGCAAACCAGATCCTTATTCGATGGAGCCTTCAAAAAGGATTTGTCCCTTTGCCTAAAAGCGATACTCCGAGTAGAATTCACCAAAACGCTCAAATATTCAATTTCAAGCTCGATGAGGAGGATATGAAGTTGCTAGATGGTTTGGATCAAGGGAGGGATGGAGCGATCGTGCAGGCTGTCACGAACTCCTAAGCGGTCCCTTTTGGGCTGCGCTCTCCAGCTTATCGCCCTGTCTAATTCTGCTACGAAAGGGAATCTATGCATTGAACTTCGTAAATACTAGATTGGTTGTCCGCGTTATTATGAAAAGTGTGAGGAATAATAAATCTGTTTAGAAGTCAAGTTTGGATTGATGTGTTTATGTCAAACCGTAATGTCATGTCCACAGGCTAAGTAGCGTGCCGGTGTATCAAAGCCCCCCACTTAGGCCCCAAATAGTCGCGCATATCAAATTTCCTCTTTCCAACCCATTGACCGCTTGCCAAATGGAGAGAAATCATTTTTCGTTCTTCAGAATTCTAGCATTATGTCACTTTATAAATTTTGGAACCTATTTTTCTCTCATCAATTCGATCAAAACGAACCACGGTTGTGTAGTGTAGCGGTTATCACTCCGGATTCTGAAACACTTAGAACCTTCCGGCAACCCCGGTTCGATTCCGGGCACGACCTGTCCTGATCACATCTGAATTATCTTTTTGCCTTTGCGACGAGGTAAATGGGCCCTCTTTTTAGCTGAACACACCAAGTGAATGTGGGTGTGAAAGTTATTCTTAACATTTTTTTCAAGGCGTCTAGACAGTTACATGAATTCAGATCTATTAAATAATTTGTTATGGAACCTAATGCACTCTTGTACATATCTATCATACAACAAATCCCCCCGAGTTCTTCTGCCTTGACTCTCCACCCGCCTCAAAAGTTCCATTCTCCAATCTCCTTAACCCCTGCACCGCACTCTGCCCCGGGGCAACCCAAGTAACGTTATGACCCAATTGCTTCAAAAAGGCCGTGGTGCTATTGTCAAAACCGTACTCGAAACTAACTTGCGCCGGTACCAGCTGGTCATGCATACGAGGCTGGGCAATAGCTTCAGGAACGGACAACCCATCGTCTAGGATATAGATGAGATTTTGAAGAGTAGATGTGATGATACGGGAACCTCCTGCTGCGCCGATGGAGACGTAGAATGCAGATGCTGGGGAAGTGGCGTTGAGATGTTCGACTATGATGGGTGATATTGATGAGAGGGGGCGCTTGCCGGGACGGATGAAGTTTGCGGGTGAGGGAATGTAACCGAAGGCATTTGTGGTGTTTGGGATGGAGAAATCCTGCGTCTGTTAGGTTTGAACATCATAAGAGTGTATATTCACTTACATTCATCTCGTTATTCATGATAACCCCAGTTTCGGGAACAACGAGCTTGCTGCCGAACAAAAGATTCACAGTCGTCGTGAGCGAAATACTCAGACCCGTGTAATCTGCCGATACAATGTGACTCGTTCCAGGAGTTTCCAAGCTCTCGAGTCCGTTAGGGTTATAGTAGTCTACCCCAAACGTCTGCGTGTCACTAATCTTTGACCTGATTTCTTTTGCCGTCTTCTCCGAAATCATCTGCTCTTGATACTCGTCCATACCCTCGAGGAACAAAGGATCGCCTAATTCACTTCTTGCTCCATAAGCAAATCGCATTGCTTCGTCAAGACGATGCGTGGTAAGGTTTTTGGCTGAAGGATCTCCGACTCCGGAGTATCCTTCCATGATTTTCAATACGGATAATGCGACTTCACCACCACTAGGTGTGCTACAGGCTGTTAACTTAAAGTCCCGGTATGTGATTGTTGAAGGTTTCCGGATTGCTACGGTGTAGTTCTTCAGATCGTCCGCGGTCATTGTTCCATTCTGTGACTGCAGTGCTCTTATCGTGGCGTCTGCGATCGGGCCTTCGTAGAATGCATCCGGTCCTTCATTAGCAATCGTTTCAATGGTATCCGCATATCTCTTTCGAGTAATCGTCTCATTCAAGCGTAGTAAGCGTCCATGGGGTGCAAAATCAAAAGCCCATTGCGGATCGTTGATCAAAAAGTTGGAAGTACTGTTCTCTTTGGCGGAACTAATCGCCGAAGCCATGTAGTTGACCAGATCTTGATTAACGATCCATCCATCTCGTGCCAATTTGATAGCGGGTTGAAGAACCGTTGCCCATGAAAGTTTACCGTATCGATCATGTAAGTATTGCAAGCCTCGTACTTCTCCAGGGATCCCACTTGCTAAGCCGCCTAATCTTGATGCAGGTTCATTATTTTTGAACATGTCCTCGAAAGCAGCAGCAGGTGCGGTTTCTCGGAAATCGATAAATTCGTAAGAGCCGTTCGCAGAGCGCACGACCATGAAGCCACCACCTCCAAAGCCTACATTATTTAGTTAATTGTTGCTTCATTGTAGCATCCCGCTCAAGTGTTTATGAGTTTGCGTTCACTTACCTGAATGATACATTCCTACAACTCCTACACAAGCCACAGTACCGACCAACGCATCTGCCGCATTACCTCCCTCTTTTAGCAGAGTTGTGCCTATATGACTACATATATCGCTTTCAGACGAAACTGCCCCCAAGTGGCCTGGTTCTAAAGCAGGATGAGCATGTTTGCTTGAGGACCATGGCGCTCTTGATATCGGATTTCCCACCGCAGAATGCACCGTCCAGAACCACGCAAAATACAGTGTGAGGCCGGGCAACATGGTTACAGGTAGGGAGAATGTAAGGAAGAAAAAAAGTGCCCACAGCCCATCCATGAAAAAGATCTAAGCACAACTTTATATTTTGGATGTTGCGGTGACTGTATCGGCCCGCAGTGCTGGCTAAGTGGATGACGATCAATTACCGAGTTGATGGGTTATTGCATGTGAGTTACACAACCGCCAACCGCTCAAGCAAGGAACGATGGATGAAGAGTTGGGTAAAAGCTTAAAGATACATCCTATCGGAGACCGAGTTGTTTCCTATCTTACGATGATTCCGCTTTCGGATTACGTTTCGTGCAAGCGATTTGTTGATCACCTGGACTGCGGGGTTGGGCGATAACATTTGGAAGTAGAGTGGAAGAAAGCATCACGAACATGAAGGCCCACTTGAGAGGCGCAAGCTCGGCGTCGTAGAATTTTTTGGTTTGCAGCTAACTTTAATGACGTGCTCTCAACAATCGTGAGTATTTTTTTTTACAAAAAATGGACACATTGCAACGTTATTCTTCCCAATGTTGATTCATCTGAGAATCGTCGGATACAATGGCCTTTCCAATTCGGGATAGCGCAGTTGGCTCGATCTCGTCACCTACCATAGTAGGCATAGATCCTCCGATCCTCCTTCCCATATCACTCACCATATGCAATTATCCTGGCGTCGGCACACTTTTCGGTGATTCCATCTGATGTCGTTTTTTTTTTTCGATCACATTTATTCCCAATACACAATGTTTGAGACGCGTACTATTCTAAACACAAAGTTTTCGTAGCCCCGCCTTTACTAAAGCTTCGATGTTACAAAGGCGAATTTAGCTTGCGTAAGCTGGGGACTACGCTATTAGAAAGTATGGAAAAAACTTGAAGCGACATTACTACGGATACAATATTGATACTTTTGGATTGACCACTAATCATGGAAAGCAGACAAACCCTTCTAGACATATTTCTACTCGTTCATGCAACGCGGAATGGTAGAACTGGATATTGAACTAGCGGCTTTCCGGCTGCTCATTAGAGCAAATTGTCTAGCTGAATTGTACCTGAGAGCGACTATTCAAATACTCTTGCAACTATAAAGAACCATCATCTTCCCCCTCTGTCACTTCATTATCCTTCCGTATTGTGCTTGTCGCAACCTCGCTTGACTGTCCCGGTTTCCGAAATACAGCCTGCATCCAGCACCGATACATCTTTATTCTTCGCTGACGGTTCACAAGCATGCGCCTGTCAACTCCAATATGCACAACTTCAAATGCCGGGACTGGTTCATTCGAATTCGAACTTGAACTCGGAACAGGCTCGACTTCTTTACTTGGTTCGGTTGTATCGTTGTCTTGCGACTCGACAGGCCCAGCCTTCTCGTCGAGTGTCAAATTGTCCATTTGATTCTCAACTCCATCTTGCGACTTTTCCGATTCCGAAATCTGGGTAGGCTTTTTACCACCCCAGATTTCTTCCAGTTCTTGTTGTTCGAAAAAGTATACCCTTGTGCCGTCACCGCGAACATAAAAGTTCTCCTCCATATACCTACCCTTCTTGAACCGCACTTGCGCAAGATCGCCTCTCCCGTAATCTCGGAAGAGGATTTGGCCACCTGGTTTGAGAACCCTCCATATGTTTCTTACTGCTTGATCCCATTGTTTAGGGTTCAAGGCTGAGAAGATGAACACCATGACCACAACATCCACTGTTCCCTCTTGGATACCCGGAGGCAGACCGCCATTGTCCGAGTCCGGCAATGCTGCCACATCCCACACGTCCGCCTGTATATATCTCTCATCATACAGCTCATGGCCCCTGATAAGCTCCACTGCCTTCTTTGAAAAGTCGCAGGCATGGATCTTCAGCCCGGGATTCTTCCTTTTCTGAAGAATTGGGAACGCGCTGTTTCCTGCTCCAGCTCCTACTTCCAGCACCACTGCTGGCGGAGAATCCTCTTTAGTGACTTCATCTAGCACTGGAAACTCCTGCGCTAACCACTTCCTATTCTTGAAAAAGTTGGTTTTGTTATTCTTGTAAAACAAATTCCACCACTTTTCAGGATTGTTATTGAAGCGCTTACGATCGAAGTCTGAGACGGGTTCGGCGCGCTGTTTCTCGAATTGCTGTTCTGAAAACTCGCGATACGAGTCGTCGACTTGGACATGATCCCAAGCGTTGAATTCAAAAATGTTATCGCCTTGTTCGAGAAATCGCGAGCCGAATGCGAAAGGATCGGTGCGCTTTTGATTGTTCGAGGGAGAGTGCGATCGTGCTGCCGGATTTCTGATTGGCTCGAATGAAGCCGGTACACCGTATGCGTCGAGTTCAGGGAGTGGTTGTGTAGAAGGGGTAGAGGACTCGGTTGGTGGGGTTGGAGTAGAAGAATGCGGGATGGGGTCGGCCGTTACAGCGAAGCGCATGTGCTCCATAGCTTTAGAGAGCTGCTGCTTGGGATTCTGCTTCTGGGATATAGAGTTATCCGTTTCGTAACGAGAGTCTGTGACTTCCGCCATGGTGAATCGATCTATAGAGAAATTCAATCAAGTCTGAGTCCAACTTTGTCCCGCCAAATTTCAGAAGATCGTCCCGCCGTTATCGATAAGGAAATGCACCAAGTGCAAAGAGGGACTAGCCCTGTTAACCCCTGCAGCATAGCGGACCTTGGTGAGCTCCAAAAACATTTGTGACTTCATCATTTCACATCTCAAGACCATGATAGCACTACAATAACAATTCCACCCACTCCTTATCGCGTCTCCTTCTGAAATCCGCCTACAATGGCGACAAAAACCCTCCGGCTCTCCTCCCTTCGCCCATTTCTCCACACGCTTCAATCCCCACATTCTGCTCTTCGACCACTATCGAACCGAAACCAACAAACCCGCACCTTTCTCCCCAATCCCTTCGAAGTCCTATCCTCAGGCTCCGCGTCTTCCCCCCATCAA